GCTGGGCAGATGATTCCTCAAAGGCTGCAAAGTGAGTGCCCACAGCTTATGGGAGGTGGGAGTGGGTGCTTTGCTCCTGTGTTGTTCTTTAACTTTTTTATAACAGCTTTATTGAGATGCGATTCATATACCTTACAATGCACCCATTTAAAATGTACAACTTAGTCATTCTTAGTATATTCATAGACTTGTGCTGCATCACCACCATCAATTTTAGAACATTTTTATCACCCCCCAAAGAAACCCCATACCCATTAGCAGTCACTTCCCATATCCCCCCAACTTCCCCAGCCCTAGGCAACCACTAATCTACTTTCTGTCTCTCTGATTTGCCTATTCTGGGCATTTCATATAAATGGGATCATACGCGATGTGGTCCTTTATGACTGGCTTCTTTCACTTGTCATGATATTTTCGGAGTTCATCCATATTGCAGCATTCCGTGTTGTTCTTAAAGTAGCTTTCTAAACAAAATGAGATTGCTTGTTAGTAACTGCTAGATTATAAATCATTGTGATCTTTAATCCCTTGCACTAAGTCTTAGATGAGAGGTAAGCCAAAAAAAGTACTGCACCAATGGGATGGCTGACTATCCACTTTAACTGCTAAGATATACTCAGAGAGAGAATTTATTTTTCTTAAAGAATACATATTACTCCTATTCAGAATTTTCATCAGTAATTGTTACCTGCAGATTAGCACTATCAAAAATATTTTTTTCCAGTTCTTTCCTCCTTCCTCCTCCCTTCTTGTTCTTACCTCTAAACACACACACACACACACACACACACCCACACACACACACACACACACACATTCATTCACTCACTCACTCTTCCTTCCCCCCTCCCTCTGAATCATTTGAAAACAAGTTGTAGTCATTCCGACATTTTGCCTCTAGATACTTTGGCACGCGTCTCTAAAGATTTAAGGACATCCTCCAAATAATCACAGTATCGTTATCACATCTAAGAAATGTCATAATGATTTAATAATATTTAATATATAGTTTAAATTTCTTCAGTTGTCCCAAAAAGGTCTTTTATCGCTCCTGGATCCAATCAGTGTTCACACGTTGTGTTTGGTAGTTCTGTCTCTTTTAAGTTTTTTGATCTAAAATAATTCCAACCCTCTGCCACTTCTACCCATACATTGACTTTTTTGAAATGCCCAGGCTAGTTGTCTTGTAGAATGTCTCAAGTTCTGGATTTCTCTGGTTGATTCTTCATGACTGATTCAAGTTAAAGCTTTTTGGCAAGAACAGGTGGTATTGTGTACTTTTTATTGTATCAAAATGGTATAGAAAGATATATTGAGAGATATCTTGTTCCCATCCGTATCCCCTCCACCTCGTTTCTTCCATTTCCTGTCGGTAACCTCTTTATTCATTACTGGTTTATCCTTCTTATACTCTTTTTTTTTTGGCTGCAAAAATAAGTATGCATATATAAATTTAGAAATTTATCCTTCTTTGTTTCCATATATTTAGATTCAGCAAACTGTGGTTCATGGGCCAGCTGCCTGTTTTCAGAGATGATTTTCTTGGAACACAACCATACCCTAAATCTTAACTTTTAAAATTTAGATCTCTGATCCATGTGGAATTAATTTCAGTATATGGTAAGAAGTATGGATCTAGTTTTATCTTTTTCTAAATGACTTTGTCCCAGCACCATTTTTTTTTTAATCCATTTTTCCCCCAGAGAATTTAGAAACCACTTTTGCTGTATTCTCCGTGTTTATACCTGAGTCTACTTTAGACCCATTTTTCTAAGTTATTAGGGGATTTTAGTGCGTTTAATATCTGGAATTTATTTTGAAATATGGAAATGAGACAAATCCTATATCTGCTTCTTAGAGAATAAAAGAGAATCTCAATTGTTTATTCCTCGATGAATATATTAAAGATTTTTCCAAATGAAATCAGTTTCCTCCTGGAGAGAGATGCTTTTCCGTTTCACATATTACCTTTCTAGGGATTCACCTGCCTGGCTCCTCAGTCTGTGGCCTAGTCCTGACCCCTCTGAGTGTTGGAGTGCTCAGGGCTCGTCCTTGAACTTCCTCTCTTTTCTGTCAACACTCTTGGCATGATCTCGGCCCAGTCTCAGGAGTTTAATTATTGCATACTGATGACTCCAAAATTTATATGTCTAGCCCAGGCCTGCCTGTGAGCATCCAGTTGTCCACGTGACGTTTCTATTCGAATAAACAACCCAATCCTAACAGGTCCAAACTGGTCCTCTTAATTTCCACCCTTTCTACTCTGCCCCCTAACCTGTGCCTCCCAAAGTCTTCACCAGGTCTCTGTAAATGGTGACCCCACCTTCCCCGTTACTCAGACCATAAACTCTGGAATCATCCTGGACTCCTCTCTTATCTCCACTCCTGTTCAGTCTGTCAGTAAATCGTGTTGAGTCTATGGTTGAAATAACATCTGTTGTCTGCACTGCCATTGCCCAGATACAGCTACTGCCATTTCTAGCACTGACTCGAGTGAGAACCTCCTGTCAACCTTTCATTCTTGTCTCCCTCAGTCTTATCTCTGCAGATCGGGGTGACCTTTTAAAAATACAGGTGAGATCATTTCGCTTTTCTGCTCAGAACCCTCCAGTAGCATTCTTTTGCCAGTCAAAGTAAACCCTGAGGTCCTTACTGTGGCTTATAAGGCTCCACCTGACCTCGCTTTATATAAAGTAGCATGCATCGTCACTCCATGTTCTCATCTCCTGCCTTATGTATCACCACCTGAAGTACATGCATACATATATGTGTATGTACACATACATGTATTATCTTTTACTCTCTACTGTAACATAAGCTCCATGAGAGAAGACACACTCTTATTTACGTATCTCCAGTACCTCAGACAGTGCTAGTCCATAATAAGCACTCAATGACTATGGAACAAATGAATGATCAGATCAATATATTTTTTTTTAGGCGAGGCAAACCTTGGTTGACCTCACAGATTGCAAGGACCTTGTCAGCTTACAATCCCTTATTTTTTGTTTTTTTACACCCACAGCACCTGGTCTTCCTAGGTGGTCTCCCATCCAAGTACTAACCAGGCCCAACCCTGCTTAGCTTCCGAGATCAGATGGCATCGGGCTTGTTCAGGGTGGCATGGCCATAGACTCAAATCAATATTTTTGATTGATTACTCTTCTATCAGTGGAAAGTGGAGCTCTGGAAGCCTGGCAGACCTGTTGGGAAGGTATCACTGTACAAAGGATGGTAAGAGCCTGCACTAGGCAGTGGTGTGCGCCTGGACAGGAGAGACAGTTTGGAGACATTTCAGAGGTAGAGTTAATAGAAGTGTCATTGGTTGAATGCAGGGCAGAAGAAGAGGTTGAAGGTCACTGCAAGGTGCCTCGCTTTGATGACTGGTTGGGTAGTGGTGCCGTCAGATAGGGAATGGAGGAGGAGAGACCTGATTTGTGGGCTTGTGGTGGTCTATGTCAATAATTTCCACAGTTTTGCAGCTCGAAGAGAGGTCAAAAAAGAGGTGCAGTTTGAGTCATCTACATAAATAGAAGACAATAACAGAGCCTTGAATCTATTTGACTGTTTGGAGGTTCCTAGGGCCTTTGAGAAAGTGGCTACAGTGATTTGCATTAGGGCAGAAGCCAGACTACAGTGGGCTGAGGAGGACGTGAGAAGTGGGGAAATGGATACCGTAATATAGGCTTCTGTTCTGAGGAGGGAAAGAAAGAGTTAGGATAGTAATTGGAAGGAGAAGTCTGTGTGGGGAGTCGTGTGTGTAATACTTGAGAGAAGGGTGAGTCCACCAGAAATAAGGCAGATTTGAAGGAGTAGGAACCTGGAGGAGGGATAGGGGAAGACCTTCCAAGAGAGACTAATTAACTTGGGACAAGAGGAGGCAGGGACATTTTCTCTCTAGGACGGAGAAAGCTTGGAAAGGCTGGGTTAGTTATCACAAAAGTTGGAGAAGAGTGTGGAATTGGGGGAATCTAATTTTGGATTGGCCTCTTTCTTTCTTCTTCAATAGGAAGGTAAACTGTTGAGCTCATTGGAGCAAAGGAGAGGTGGTATCTGGAGGCAAGTAGAACAAATTTGAATCTGAAAGAGGAAAGGGGGCCTTTTCGGGGTAAGAGGCAGTGGTTGGGCTCCATTGAGGATCTACCCCATGAAGGCTGGAAAACACAAGCTTCTGCTATTTGGGGGGCGCTTCAGGGAGTCCAGAGTGTAAATGTGCTTTTTGCCCTGCAAGGGCTTGGATTCCAATTGGGGAGATCAGGCATTTTCATTCACACAAGTCAGGAATGGCAGAAGGAACACATTGTAAGTGAGAAATGAATGAAATGACTAACACTAGCAATGTGACCTCAGAGGTGAGAGTAATCACAATGTCCAGGGATGATGGAGGTCAAGCCAAGAATTCCGATGGCTAAAGAGGATCATGAGGAGAGCATTTTGTTCAAAGACTGGTGTAGGCATAAGTGTTGGGAGAGGGGCAGTAACCTTATTGTCAGTCTGGTTAGAGCAGGGAATTCACACTGAAAAATAGTATACTCACTTTAAATTCTTTTGGGATAGTGATAATGATGGCCCTGTGCTAGGGATCTGTCTTAGTCAGTGTGGGCTACTGTGAAAGAATACCACAGCCTGGGTGACTTCAACAACAAACATTTCTCACAGTTCTGGAGGCTAGGAGTCTGAGATCAAGGTGCCAGCACAGTCGGGTACTTGATGAGGGCCCTCTTCCTGGTTATGTCCTCACAGGGCCTTCCTTGGCGTGCACACACAGAAAGAGAGATCTTGTGTCTCTTCTTCATTTTGTAAGGACACTAATGCCATCATGGCTCCACCCTCATGACCTAATCACCTCCCAAAGGCCCCATCTCCAAACACCATCACAGTGGGGATTAGGAATTCAAACTGGGAATGGCGGGAGTGGGGGTGGATATTTGGTCCATAGCTGTGCCTTATATGTGCATCACACCAACTCTGCCAGGTAGGTTCCATTCAGGAAGGTAGGTATCCTTCCGTGAGGGAGCAGGGAGGAAATGG